ATTTTAATGTCAGTTTGATATTTTAACGTCAGTTTGATATTTTAATGATGAATAAATTTGGTATATTTAATGATTTTGGTCCTGTCATATAATTTATGTTGGTAAATTGTGAGGTAAGAGCAGAGTCATGTAAATGTTTAAGTACTCATTAGAAAATCGACTTTCATTGATCGTTCATAGCAGTTTTCAGAACAAAGGGACGTCTGTTACACTTGTGACCCTCGTCACGTTTATAAATTAAACAAGAAATAGACAAAAGGTTTCCTCTGTATTCTAGGAAGCTTTGGCTAACAGCTGTAGAGGAAAGTGCCTCAAGGTTTGTTATAAAATAAAAATCCAACTCCTCCAGTTTCTGATGAAAGCTGTAAATACATTGTAGCACATTTTTAATGTTTTTATATATTGTTTTATTTATTGCTTTTAGGTATATGACCGTTTGTGTGTAAACGTGGTGTAATGAGAGGACCGAGAGATGGATTTAGCTCAGGGGTGCTCTCTTACATTTTATAATATCTGGACTAATTCAAGTACATAATATTATACTTAATTTAAACGGATTCTTTCATTTTTCTGGACTAAGTCATATCGTGCCTAGAAGATTAAATGTGGACAAAGATGTGTTTAAATTTCTGACCCACCAACAGCAGTGCGGTCTTTTATTTATCAAAACGATTTAAACACATCACACATTTTACACATTGATTGGCATAATTGATTACAATAACACAGCTTAATTAATGAGCTTTACAATGAGAAATCATACGGCCATGATTCCTCACTTGCAGCTTAAAACAACAGACATATCCTTAGATCTTAAATTAATGTCTGCAGGCTTTAGCTTATCTTTACTGGCAGAAAAATATAGAGATGGAGTAAAGTTTAAGAAGGAAAAGTGGATACTTAGGGTTAACTAAGATAATAAAGAAAAGATGGGGAGTTATCTTGTTCGAAACCAGATAGCACGTTTCCCGGTGATTTCAGCTAGATGGTACCCGAGCGTCGACTCTTTACCTTGGTGGGGTTTCAGAGAGGTCTTCTCCTGGCGTCCAGCAAGGCTGAGTCTTTTTATCTCCAGGGATTTATATCCGCTTCTCATCAACTTGGGACCACGAGGCTGACTGACCCAGCTTCCAAAATAAACTTCCCCGAAGGATAGGATTAAGTTAAGTGGAATTTCAGCAAACGTGCTGAACTCCTGAGATGTTGAATAGGTCTTTGACGTGATGACCTGAATCAACACTCCAGACAGGTGTCATCTTTCAGAAAAAGACCACCGTGGACTTCACCTTCTCCAGCAGAACTCTCTGTTCTGAACTTTTGGAACTTCTGTTCTCTCTGGAACTAGGAAGTGTCGACTTTTAAAGAGTTCTGCTTCCGGTCACGTTTGGGAAGTCCTGATTGGTTGAAAGAACCAACAGGGGTGTGGTTTTAGTGACGTCAGAGGGTCATTACAAGTCAGAAAAACAGCGGAGATGTTTAGGAACAGACAGAGAAATGTTTTGGAGAAATGACAGACTTACAGGTGCCAGTTCTCTTGTTTCTGTCTGAGAGGTTTAAAAACATGACAGTTCGTTCCAATAAACTTGTTTGCGACTGTCTCCGACTTTTGACCGACATCACACCTTTCTCATTTCAGACAGAAGATCAAAAATGCATAATTACTTTGTAACATAGACATTTAACTTGATTTCTACTTTGAATGAGGATTAAAAATCATTAATACTGTTTCACAGTTGATTTAAAATGAGTGGTTCACTTCAACATTTAAAATGGTTTGAACTAAACACACTTTTGATTATCAAGACATTGTAAAATAGTAATGATAATATAAAAAAGCGAGTGTTCTTTCAATTGATTAGTTCAGGATACAATTAGAAAGTCTCTGGATGAGCTAATTTGTATTTCTGGATTCAAATCAATGAAATAACAGTTCCTGTCCCATGAAGGTCTTCAGAGGCAGGTCTTGACCGGAGGCCGAGTTCACTACAGTGGAAACTGTCAAACAGAATTGTCTTTCAGGGATAAATAGTCTAAATCTGGAAACAACAAAAAGCTACCGGTAATTAAAATATTAAAACTTGAGTCCCCAGCTCCGCAGACCTCCAGTTGGTGTAACGGAGCCAACTTTGTACCAAAAAATGGTATTTTATTTAAAAAGGATTGTGAGAATCTTGGCTGGATTTTAATAGTCACAGAATGTCGACATGAAAACAACATGTTAAGAAACATTAGCATAAATAAGGGCTAATTTACAGAGTGGGAATTAAATGCAAATATCTATTAAAATCAAAATTGAGTGGAATTTAAAAATATTGCAGCCTAAATGGCTTCAGTTGTTTTGATGAGTTTTGTTCAAGGATAAGACCCACAAGTATTCCTCGTGGAAATAATGCATGTACGCTGCAACAAAAATTATTAAAACATTTTCTTTATTACAACATAAAAGTCACCGCGGAAAAAACCCTCGACACTTGGAATCAACGTCAGGTTTACAAACGCCATCGACAAGTCGAGAACATGAAAAAGACTCGGTCATTAACTGAGAAAACACCAAGGCACTGGCGTGTGTAGCCTGCTGCAGCATGAACGATGCTGCTGCATGAACGATGCTGCTGCATGAACGATGCTGCTGCATGAACGATGCTGCTGCATGAACGATGCTGCTGCATGAACGATGCTGCAGCATGAACGATGCTGCTGCATGAACGATGCTGCTGCATGAACGATGCTGCTGCATGAACGATGCTGCTGCACAAGTGATTTAAAACACAGTCTTCTGTCCTGAACGTGTAGTGAGGTCAGCACCTGCAATGCTTTCCACGTTTGCAGATTTCAAGGGAAACACTTGTCCCTTCATGACAAAACTGAAGCCACACGAAGCTCGTGGCTCTTGAATACCTCAAAACAGCAATTGATTGTGTTTATAGAAAAAAACTGATTTAACCTGTTGACATTTTATTAAGGTTCATGTAAACAAAACTCTGGTACGGCACTTTTGTTATCCCCTAAAATAAAAGTTCTTTGTTGGAAAATGCATCAGTTTTAACGTAGATAAGTGCTGTTTTTACATCTTTATGAAGTGCTCTAATGGTTGGAAAACATCACCAAATGTTCACAGTAATTAAATTTTAAAGGGTTTCAATCAGCGATGACTCAAATATATATGGATATAAATCTGATAGCATACAGACGTAATGATGACGGACTGGGAAGATTTGAAAAACAACTACAACTGAAACAAGAACCTCTTCAATGTCTTTTTTTTTGTCAAGATTCTGTTTTATGGCAGAAAAGAGTGCAGTGACTTTGTACCAAATAAAAAAATAAATTACATAAAACTTCTTTTTTTTTTTACATGACTGACATCCTCACGTTCCCTTTGACTTGTGCATGTAATCATGCACGGCTCACTCCATCAACAGTGAACAGCACTTCCAGTCCAACTCCTAATGTCACTCGAGTGGGAGACGAAGAGCAGGGCTCCAAATACGAGTTCCTCTTGATCACTCTGCCGTATCAGCTTCCTGTTGACCCTGTCGTCTTTTTTCTTGCTCCTGTTCTCTTCATTTTAGCTCTTTTCATTTTTCTTCCCTCTGCTTTCTGAACGTCTCTCACATCTTGCGTATGACGATAACGGTGGTCAGAACACCAGCCAGGAAAACTCCCACCGTCTGCCATGTAGGAGTACCAAAATGGGAACGGATACCTTCCTAAAATCAGAGACGTGCATGTTAATACTCGTCTCATGAAGACAACGCTGTCATTAACCACAGTTGTAAGTTATCTGCTTACCCAACCACCTTGATCTCTTATCCAGTTGATCACATTTTCCCGCAGGTAGTCCATCGTCCAGCTGATTATAGTTCTGATGATATCAGGAATTTTGACAATAAGAGCCTGGAAAGATGTGAGTAAATGTTATTGTTGCGAAACAATTTCATGTTGCAGCAAGTGGCGCGTAACAAAGGTGCTTCACTTACTTTGATGACGAGTCGACAGGCAAAGTAAAACAGTGCGACCACTCGGCCCCAGTTGAATTTTCCATCTGAAAAGATCTCCAATGCAACTTTCCAAAAAACATCCTTTGAAGGGATAAGTGAGGAGTCATTTATCATCCTAGGGAAACAAAATTTATTGGTTAAGGAAACGTTAACATAAACATAAAAAGATATGAACTTGTGATACCTAGGTGTTGAAACTTGAAGCTCAGGTAGACTGACAGGTGTCCTACCTTTGTAGCTCCATGTTTCCATCCAGCTCATCTCCAATCTGTTGCAGACACTGAGCCAGCTTCTTGTGGTTTGGGTCACACAGCTCCGGTGCACCCAGCTGTTCTCTCGTCAGTAAAGCATCACCACCTCCGTGTCGCTGAACCCGCTCGTAGATGAAACTACAGAGACACAAACGCAATAAAAACTGTTCAATGCAAAACTGGTGAACAACTGGTTAAACCAAGTAAATGTTGGTAAAGCTCGGACAGTTGCGTCACCATTTGTTTTATTGTTTTGCACACACACACAATGCGTTTGTGATAAACACGGGGAGCGATGATGAGTCGGGTAATTCAGGGAGTGGTGGCACAGTGGTTAGAGAGGTGGGCCTGTGATCAAAAGGTCGCCAGTTCAACTCCCCCAAGTGACATCAAAATATGGGTGGGAAAGGTGAAACACCCACACCTGCCTCCACCCTCATTTGTCCCACTCTGGGCCCTTGAGCAAGGCCTTAACCCCCACCATCTGCTCCTAAACGGGTCTCTCTTGAAAATGAGTCCTCGTGACTCAATGAGACTACCTGGATAAATAAAGGTAAATAGAAAATGTACCAGGACGACTCGTATATAAACTGGTACAAATGAAATGTTCAGTCAATTGACCATAAATCACCTGTGATGAACAGCCAAAGGTCATAGGTCATGTTTTTTGAACAAGATATCTTTAAGAGTTTGCAGATGATACAGCGGTGGTGGGATGCATCACAAACAATGATACAGGCTGGAGGTGGAACACCTGGAGATCTGGTGCAGGAAGAACAACCTCCACATCAATGTGAAGAAGATGAAGGAGATGGTGGTGGACTTCAAAAACGGCTCAACACCCCCCCCCCCCACCCCAATTTTACTGATTTTTTTAGTTTAACAACAATTGTCTGAACTTCATTTATATTTCAGAGCACTGCCTCATGACCAGTTAAAACAAGTTCGTATTGTTTCTAGGACGTTGTTCAAGGGGATGTTTTTCATTAAAATAAGAATGGAAATTTGAAGGTGCTTTACGACTTTATAACACCGGACTGTGTCGCTTGTAAAACTAAATCGGCTTCAGCCAACATTGGAATAGACGGGTCAGGCTTTTTAGAAATCGTGATGGGCCAGAAAACTGCAATTGGTGCACCCCTAGCTGTGTTCAGACTCATGTAAGGGCTGCTGAGGTTTGGTGTATTGCTTTACACTAGCATTTTCTTAGTTCATATCTTAGAGCTTATTACTGTTTTTCTTTTACAATTTATACTTTTGTTGGATGTAACTGGGACCCTGTGTACACAATTTTGTTCCACCACATGTACCACATGAGCTGTGAATGACAATAAATAAACCTTGACCTTGATATAACTCTGAAGTAGTTATGTTACAATCGCCGATCACTGGGGACAGGCAAGTTCACGCACTTGGATCATATTACAGCAATCATACGTCACACATTGGACTACATTATTTATTAAAAGGTTAGTAGGAATTTATTATTAAATGTCTTCAACAATCTGAGAAACTTTTAAGACAATTTGTTAACCTGAACGTGGTTTTTGAAGCCCCTGAGTCGAAATGATCTGATCAGGTCATGAGAGAAATGAGTCTATTTTTCATTCCGCCTTGGTCATTTTTAGCTATATTCAATCAAATCTCTTTTAATACGATATGGGAAATATGATTTTTTTTTGTTTTTAACATTGCTATCTGTAGGCAACAAAAGGCTTTAAAAGTAATGTGTAAACTTAAGTTTGCTTATCAGAAGGAAAAGCAACGTGAACATCCAAGTATCTAGAAACACCTACACCCAAATAACGTGTTAGCCTTATACCCAATTAAAAATCTTTATTCTAGTAGTCCACTAATAATGAAAGCTTTGTTACAGTACTCTGATAAAACAAGTTATTGATTATTTCATTGATAAGGCATAACTAGCCACCTGTAACTTATTACATGAAATTATCTTCAACCAAATCCATACTTACTCGGTTAACAATAAAGTTCCTACTTCCACGATCTGATCTTTGGAGCTCCCTGGAAAACAAGGAGGTGTCAGACATGAGTCACATCAGCCTGAAACCCAAGTTTCAATCAGGTCACTGAAACCAGGACTCTACTACTACAATTCACTCCATGACTTGGTTTTATTTGAATTATTTGTCTGTGTGTTGATCTGCTGTTAAAATCCGGTGAATCTGTGGGGAAAAGTAACTTGCAAAGGTTTCGATCATCCAACCGGTTTTCAGCTAAATTAATTAGCTCAAGACGTTTTTCAGATCACAACTTACAGTTAACTGATGTACTTAACAAATGTTGTGTGGCGTTTTAGTCTCGTTTGCCAACACGGTGTGGTTTGGACCTCGATCAGAAAAAACCATCAGCAACTGATGTGCTGGCTAACGACAAGCTAGCACTGAGCATATTGCTAAGCTAACAGTCCGGTTTGAGTTGCTGCGTCAATTAAACCGATTTCAAATTAAAAACTAGGAGAAAATGTTAATCTGTCAGATTTTCTACATCTGCCACACAGTTACGGAACCTGTCACAGCATATTTGACGATATTTTATTGCGGATGCTAGCCCCGTACCTTGCTCTCCGCCAACCTGTGATGCCATCTTGTTATGTATTTCCGGAAAGGTCACGTGACCACATTAATTTTTCTCGTTCTCCGCCTCGTTGGATGCTCATGAAGCCGATGTGACGTAATTCAGTCAGAGCTGTTATTTTTGTTTATTTATTTAGGTAATTTCATAAAAGTGTACAAAATAACATGTTATACATGCGTACAAAGATTTTATACATCCAACGTTCATGTCCAAAACAAGAGAATTATACAATAACTCTGACGTCATACAAGTGCCTGAACAGACCAAAAAGGTGTTGGTTGAAGCGTTTGCTTATTTCACCCACACTTATAAAGTTCTGTACACTTCTTTTGAAACGGAGTTTCAAATATTGAAAACAAGTTTTTTTTCAGTTAAACTGTCAAATTACAATTTTGTCTTTTAAAACAAGAATAAAAGAAAACATGACATTTTGTACACCTGCATCAGTTTTGTGTTTTCAGTTTTGCATCAAAAGTGTTTCATGTTTAACTGACACATCTTTCTTTGTAGAACTGTTCTTATGCTCGTCTTTGTAAGCATGCAGCTTCCTTTGAGTTCATACTTATTTTTGATTGTCATATATTTTCTGAAATCTTTAAACAATTTGTAATAAACATAATAACAACGTGAGCACAAAACAAATTTGGGGGATTCTTGGAACCTATTTTAGTCTTCAAAAAGTGATAGACAATGGGAAACAATGTAATTTCAAGGTAATTTTGACAAAAACAAAAACATTGAGGCACAGACAAATGAGAAAATGATTTTAAACATTTTTACAGTCCAGAATAATTGATGTAAAAAACACATTATTCTGAATGTGTATAAAGTGAGGCTGACATCTGGTACAAGTCCATTGCGTTCTGAGTTTGCAGTTACATTTGTCAAAGCTCATGTCACTCTTGCCATGTGGCTCCATTCAAACCACCACTCCCTGAGAGCTCCACTACGAAGTGGGATTAACAAATAAATTCAAGAGATTTTACAAGGAAGGCTCTGTTTGAATCTGGTTATGGTAACACACGCTGAACTCCTAACCTGTTCAGAAGCAACTGAGCAATTAAAAATCTGACAAACTAGATTAATATATCATCAGTTAGAAGAACTGAAGATTGATGACTGATAATATAACAAATTAAAATCCTCTGAATATTGTTAAACAGCCAAATCAGAAGCTTCAGTTTCATCTGATGTATAAGTGCAGTACACATTTTTATTTATTTTATAATTTATACAATTTAAAATATACCTTTATTTGTTTTGGTCAGTGAAGTGGCTTGTACATTATACTGGGACAGTGTCAAGGCTAAATGACCTTTGCCTGTGTGTGTATGTGTGTTGTGTATCTGTTAGCAAAATATCTCATAAACCACTGAATAAAATGTAGAAGGCACTTGGAGTATCTAATCATCATATGTACGTTTACAACTAAATAATGTATGAAGTCAACTTGACTAAAGATGGCTGCTGCAGCACACTGAACATTAAAAACACAGGAATATCTATAACTTTATTAATTTGGTGTGGTAATAACTGTTACCAACACAAAGTGCTGAAAGATCACGCTCGGTCTTAGTTTAAAGTCTTACTCTTATCTGGAGTCAACTCTGAGTGTCATAAACTCAGACTTTATATCCATGGGGACACGTGCGTTCACTAACTGGGCTTGTTTTAACCCAGTAAGGACTACAGGTAAAATTGCTGGATCTGCTCTCAAACTCACACTCAAGTGGGAGACCAAGAAAAAAGAGCAGTTCTCCAACATGAGCTCCTCTTGTTCCTTTGATTCAGTTTGACTTCTTTCTGTTGACGTCGTCATCCTCTTCATTCTTGCTCCCGTTCCCTCAGTTGAAGCTTTCCCTTCTTTCTTCTGCCTTTCCTTAGACGCCCATCAGATCTTATGCATGACTACGACAGCAGTTAAAATCCCCGCCAGGAAAACACACAGAGCCTGCCATTTCGGGGTGCCGATGTAGGAAAAAATACTCTCCTAAACCAAAATCACAGAGACGTAGATAGTTGTTTCAATGTAAAGTGAACTCTTTGACTAATTATTAATGTGTTTCAAATGCAGCTGCTTACCCAGCCACCCTGCTCTCTTATCCAACTGATCAAATGTTCCCGGAGGAAGTCAATGGCCCAGTTGATTATGGATCTGATGAGGTCCAGAATTTGGGGTTTATACGCCTGGGGAGAAGTAAAGAAATGTTAATTATCATTGTTCAAGACTACACTTCTGAAAACGTTGGGACAGTGTGTAAATGGAAGTAGAATCGCAATAATAAAATCTCATAAATCAATATTTTATTCGCAACTGAACAGAGTAAACATAGTAAACTTTGAAACAAAGGTATTTTTAATACTTTTGAATTTTTGGCAGCGATACAGCTAAAAAAAAGTAGCTTTATAAACATCTAGGAACTGAGGAGACCAGTTTTTAGAGGGGACTCTAAAACCTGTTGTCCCCTTGTTTGATGTAGGATTCTAGCAGTTCAACCATCCTGCGACTTCCATGTTTTCCTAATGAGAGGTCTGGACTACAGGCAGGCCAGACCAGCACCTGGGCTCTTCTACCAAGAAGCCATACTGTTGCCATCAGTGCAACAATGTTCAGTCAGGTCATCTGGACGGTTTCCTTTTTGGTTTGTTTGTTTTTGCTGAGACGTTTCGTCCTTCATCCAAAGGACTTCTTCAATCTGAGGAGCCACCAACAAACTGAGTCCCACAAACTGCACACTCCTGTAGTGGAAAAACAAGAACAGTTTGCTGGTGATAAGATGGCTAGACGTGAGCACGGAGTGCACACGACTAATTAAGATTTAAAAGCTGCATGTGTGTACGGACATGAGCAGAAAACAAGAGCCAGAGACAACGAGAGGAGAGATGGACAATAACACCTCCTAAAGGTTTGGTCAGAAGGCACACACGGTATGCTGACATAGTTTGTGTTCATATTTTGCTTGTAAATGCAATTTTGTTCACGCTTGTTTTTATATTGTGTATCTAACACACGGTGTTTACTGGCAGAAGAAGATGTCCTGTGTGGCAAAGAAATAATTAAAAGCATCAGTTGGAGCGTGGCCTAATTCTGTACCAGATACTTTGGGAGCAGTTACAGAAGATTTGGACAATTGTTTGACGCTGGATGTCCTTCCTGATGCGACCTTAGCTCGAACCCACAACCTCAGCATTACAAGACTGCGGCACTGACGACCGAGCTACCGTAACCACTTGGCATAGTCTTGACTAACTAACCAGATTCCAGGTCTTCCTTGAAAAAGACGTGATCTACATGGTATGTATGCTGTTCTAAAATCTGTATACAGCATAAATATTTATCTTATTGATGGTACCTTTCCAAATCTATAAGATCTGTGTGACAGAGGCACTAATGCATCTCCATAGCATCAGAGAGGCAGGCTTTGGACTGATGATACCAAGCTGGATGGTCCTTGGTGGTTTCTAAAGAAATAATTTGATTTGTCTGACCACAGAATAGTTTCCACTTTCCCTCTGTCGATTTTAAATTAACTTTGGTCCAGAGAAGATGGCAGCATTTTGAGATGGTTCAATTGTTTTTAGTTGCACCATAGAGCTGTAAGCAGCATTTGTGTATGGCACACAATTATGTTTACAGACAACGATTTGCAGAAGTGTTTCTGAGCCCAAGCAGTGACGTCAGAAAATTCAAACTAACCTTTTTGATTTTTTTAGGTGCAACTTCTCAGTTTCAACATTTGATTTGTTTATAATGTTCCGCTGTGAATATTTATTGATTTATGAGATTTGCCAATCATTGATTTTCTTTTTATTTACACTTTACACAACCTCCCAACTTTTGCACAACTGGAGTTGTAACGTGATAAACTGAGGAGTAACAGAGGCGCTTCACTTACTTTGATGACGAGTTTACAGACGAAGTAAAAAAACGTAACCACTCGGCACCAGTTGAATTTTCCATCTGAAAAGATCTCGGAGGCAATTCTCATAAACACTTCTAGTGAAGGTTGGAGTTTATCATCATTTATCATTCTAGAAAAAGAGCATGTAGGAAAAGTGCAATAACACAAAAAGCAGATGAGTGTGTAATACTTGTGCTGGGATTATAAACTGAGACACAGAGAAAGGCTGCTTACGCTTGTAACGCTGCATTTTGGTCCAAGCTGTCTCCTATCACCTGCAAGCCCTCAGCGACCTTCTTGTGTTTTGGTTCACACAGTTCCTCTGCACCCAGGTCCTCTCTGGTCAGTGGGACGTTATCTACATGTCGCCGAATCCAGTTGAAGATAAAACTGCAACAAAAAAAAACAGAAACGTAAAAAATAAAATGCTCCACATAGTTAAAGAGTAACAAAATTAAATAAACAGTAAATTTTATTTTAGGTCACTACTTTAGACATTTCTAATTACAATAATGCAAGAAAATATAGAAGAAATGTTAAATTTTCTGCGTTAAAAAAATCAAACCACTAACTCCTGTTATTTCCTGATATTTCCTGCTTTGCCTTTTGATACAGCCTCTCCTAAAAACAGTGGTTCTAAATGAGAACTAGCTGACACCACATGACTCATACAGAGCCGTCTTTAAGTCTGTTAGTTTAGTTATTTGCATTTTTACAATTTATTTGATTGATTCTCTTATTTAAAGTCAAGCTTTGTCTAGTTTACATTGCACTGTTAGCATTGTGAAAAATCTGGATGTTAAAATCAGCACATAATGGATGAACTTTGGATGAACTCTGACCATATGCACTGAAATCAGAGGAACTAGGCACTAGATCTGTTCCGTTTCACGTAAAACAAGCTTTAGATAAAGATATCAGGAATCATTTAGTGTCTCAAATGTGCTATCTCAAAAAATAATTGGTTATTGCATCGTAGAAATAAAGACGTGTAATAAATTGCTGACATTAATTGGTCATTTTAATAAAAGAGACCAAACTCCTGATCATAAAATTTGAACACTGACCAGATCATTTGAGTCCCATGTAATTATGGAAAAAAATTACATAGGAATTCCATATACATATTACTTATACATACTTAATAAGATGATAAAGTAACTAAACCAGTTTGTTATAGGCAAATAATTGTGACTTACTGAATTTGTCACAATTATTACTACAAAAAATATTATTTTAAAATTATTATAATTATATAAAAATAATAATTATTATTATTAATAAATACAATAATGTAATATTATAATATTATTCTACATATAATATAGTAACAATATAATATATATTATATCATATTTAATATGATATAATATATGTTATATATAGTATATATTATAATAATATAATAACAATATAATAACAATATTATATATTATATATAGAGTATATATTATATTGTTGTAATATTATATACAATAATATAATAACAATATTATTTAATATATATATATTATAATTGAATCAGAATCAACTTTATTGTCATAGCACAGTTAAGAACAGTGACATTTCGTTGCGTGCAGCCGTCTGAAGACAGAAGTGCACCGGGGCTGCAGCTTTCTATAAAGCGCTGCTCTTATCACTCAGACAAGAAAGGGGAATAAAACACGAGGAGACAAGGTGTAAAAAAAGATCTGTCACACCGTGTCCTTCACACAGGGCATGATGTGAGGTAGCTAAACAATCTTCCTCAACAAGCAACATGAAAAGCAGGAGGGGTCAGGGGAGGCAGGAGAGGGAAAGAGAGCGTCCGTCTTCATCGAGAGCGAGAAAATAAAAACAGTATTATATTGTTATTACATTATATTTAATAATATAATGATAATATACATTATTAAATTATTACACAGCTATTATTACACCAGTTTTATCTTCTCTTCGTTGGCTACCTGTTGAATTTACAATTAATTTTAAAATTTTAGAGCTCTAAATGGACAGCCCCCCCAGTACATCACTAAAATGTTGATCCCTTATTGTCCAGCCCGCACCCTTCGGTCTTCAGCACAGAACCTCCTTAAGGTCCTAAGACCCGGTTTAAAACTTGGGGTGACCTATCCTTTCAGGTCGTAGCCCCCCGACTGTGGAATGCCCTGCCCCCGTCTGTTGGTGTGACCGCCCCTGTTGATTCCTTCAAAAAGCAGCTTAAGACAATTTTATTCAGACCAGCTTTTAGTTCAATGTTGTTTTACTTTCTGTTTTTATCAGCTGTTCTTACTGGTTGTGTTTGATCTTAACCCAGTATTCTGTATTTCTGTAAAGCACTTTGTGATTTTATCTATGAAAAGTGCTTTATAAATAAAGTTTACTTACATAAATAAAGGCACAGACCTTCATTACTTCAGCTTTTATCAAGTTTGTATCATACGCACGCCTTTCCCTTTCAGTTCTTGTTGAGATCCCGGGGACTTGAGAAATGTTTGAAATCTAAATGTAGTAAGTTGTAATTTAGTAAGTTATATGTGTACACAACTGCCACATACTAAAAATGTGAAAAAAGAGAGTTTTAAAAGAAAGATCACCCTGAAGGTTTGAACTGAAGACGTAGCTAACGGGCTAAAAACTTCTAGCACAAACTGATCGGTTCTTTGTTTGTTTGTTTTAATTTAATTGTAAAGCACTTTGGTCAGATTTTGTACTTTCTATGTGCTATATAAATAATTCTATGTGCTATATAAATAAACTGACATCAACATTCACATATTTGCATGAACATGGATAGAAAAATGCTGATCCAACTCTAGATGTGAGCAGAGAACAAATAATCTGCTTTAATCCACATTTTCAGAATAGATGATTAAAATAAAGGTCAGAAATGAAACTTAAACATTGTTTTCCTTTTGAAATCAACAAGATTGATTTTTAAAGAACCTACATCACAGTCTATTTGAACCAGAGCTGTAAATGATGGCACAGAATCTGAAACAATTTTAGTTCAACTCAAAACATTCATTATAAAAATCTAATCCGAGAGAAATTCTAAGTGGCACTATTCAGATTAAGCATTTATATATTGATAAATAACAAATCTGTCACTTATTGTCGCTTCCAAGGTTAAATGAATAAATGAATAAAACTGTAACCCAAGTAATATTAAGAGGTACTTACTCCTTTAACAGCTTAATTCCCAAGTCCAGGACCTGGTCTGTGACGTTTCCTGAGAAACAAAGTTCAGACGTGACGTCATTTCGTCCAGTTGCGTCAAGTTGAAACTGAAGGTGCAGCTCAGAAAATCATCTTTTCAACAGGACGTTTGTCCGTGGATTTATCTCCACTGGTGTGTTTTATGTCAGTCAGACTTACTGTGTTTAATGCAACGATCATCATGTGAAACTTGGTCATTCAGAAGAGAAACTTTTATAAGTCGCCCAAACTCAAACTGATCGTTTTGACACAGAACTGTTAGATTGTCTGATTTCCTACTATTGTTACTTTAGAAGAAACATTGTCACAGCTTTCTGTGATTAAATAAAGAATAAATAAATAATTAATAACTCCGAAACCTACCGGTTCCGCGATCTCCTTCTGCGCCCGATGCCATCTTGCGTTTGGTTTTTACTTCCGTGTGTTCACCGGCTGCATTACTGGATTCACATGATGTTCCCATGTGTTACTGTACATACATCATGGGTCAAACTCGATATTTGGAGGCAACATTAAAACTAGACTGTTTTAGAAATACTGGCTGGAAATAAATATAAAATCAAATAGAAATATTGGTTTATATATATATAATGTATTACATATGTAAAATAAGACGTATACATACATACATACTTTTTTGTTTACATACGTTTTTAAATTGTTGAGAACAATAAATAAACAAATACTCTTTTAAAGAAATAAAGTATTTTGGCGATTTGCTCACTGCAGAGAAAGAAACCGGTCAATAATTGTTGCTCTTTTATTTTGAAGGGTTCTTTTTAAACGTCATTTCCTGTTTTTCACCGTCTTCCGCTGTCCGCGCGCTCGCTCAGGCCTCTTTACAACTCAGCTCGCAAAGATGGCGGAGGCACAAGTATGTTCTCCGACGCGGCGTGGCGATTTTAAATCGAAGAACACTTCTCGTAACCAGCGCATATGACGCAAACCCCGATAGATCGACGCCAGTCGTCGTGCCAGCCGTTAGAAAATTAATTTACACGTTTATAATTCAGATTTATTGTCGATCCGCACCCCCCTCGTGTTAGGCTAATTTAGCCGGAATGCTAACTTTGTTAGCCTACGCTTCCTTTTAGGTTTCCGTCAATTTAACACTTTTTAACTTGTGTCCAGTTTTAGAGTTACAACTTTTGCATACTCTTAATGTTTTAGTGACTGCTACAGAGGTGAAATATAGCGTTGTTGCCGAAAGGGGAAGTGTTCTTTAACCAAACGAGTCATTGGCATGGTGGTGAAGGAGTGCAGAAATGTTCATTTGTGTTCTCCTTCCAGACCGAGAGGGCTTATCAGAAGCAGCCCATGATCTTCCAGAACAAGAAGCGTGTTCTGCTTGCTGAAGGTGGCAAGGAGAGCAAAGAGAAGATCCCTCGCTACCACAGAAACGTCGGGCTGGGCTTCAAAACGCCAAGAGAGGTAAAAACTTGGCCCATTAATTGTTCAAACTGTTAAAAGACGCTAAATGTTCATTTGCAAATGATGCTTTTTCTCACGATGGTCTTCCAAACCTGTGTGGTTGTGACGACATTGCCTTTTGGCAACACTGATGCTGTTCAAGTCAAACCTCTGAGTAACGTTGGGAAGGGGATACTTGAGTAATAACCATTTTATTCTCCTTTCCAGGCGATTGAAGGCACCTACATTGATAAGAAATGTCCATTTACTGGAAATGTGTCTATCCGTGGACGTATCCTTTCAGGTAATTGCCATCGCTCAGATTTGCCTACATATACCACAGCAACGCTGTAGATTGTCACTGTTAATATAGAGCCATGGCTTTCTTTGAAACAAATTTAAGATGAATCATCCATAAGATGATCTAAATGTAGTTTTGTCTGTTTCCATCAGGACACGGTTAAATTTTGAGGATTAGATATGGGAAACATTTTATCTTGACAACAATGGTAGACGGTCGTATGCAGTTTACACCAAATCTTTTTTGTCATTGTATTGCAAATGATGCTTTTCTCACGATGGTCTTCCAAGCCTTTTGGGCTTTGACGATAATGCCTAATGGCAATGCTGATGCGGTCCAGTGACAAAAATGTAATCCAGTTTTAAATCTCCACAGACATGACCCTTCTCTTGTCTGCACAAGTCTAACAATCAAATGTTACATCCGTGTGTTGTGAAGGTGTGGTGACCAAAATGAAAATGCAGAGGACCATTGTCATCAGACGCGACTACCTGCATTATATCCGCAAGTACAACCGCTTTGAGAAAAGGCACAAGAACCTGTCTGTCCATCTGTCGCCATGCTTCAGGTAATGCACTGGATGTCACGTCACTTTGTTGCATTTATAGAAAACTTGAAATGGTTTAACATTTTTCAGTCAGGTCATCTGGACAGTTTTTTTGTTTTGTTGTGTTTCCTTGACTGATGAAGCCTTCCGGACCGAAGGCGAAACGTTTCAGCACAAAACAAACTGTCCAGATGAGCTGGCTGAAAAATGTTGATTGTATACCTGGATTATTGAGCATGGACTTTGTTGTTAAAATGGTTTAATTTGTTTTGTGTGGTCACTGAAGTACTTTGACTTGAAATAGTGTGCGTAATGTTACGTCTCAGTATTTTGGATTGCAACATATCAGAACCATTGTTGTATAAATGTTAGTTTCTGGTCTTAGTTGACTGCAAGTGATGTTTTTTCTCACGATGGTCTTCCAAGCTCAAGAAGCTCTGACGATGCTGCCTTTGGCAAACACTGATGCAGTCTTGCTTTGTTTTCTACCTGCAGAGGCAAAATGAATCGACTAAAGTCATGCACAGGTAGCCAGACGTTTGTTCACATTAACTCCTGGACTGTTTTTCTGCAGAGACGTTTCCGTTGGAGACATTGTGACTGTTGGCGAGTGTCGACCCCTCAGCAAGACCGTGAGGTTTAACGTCCTCAAGGTGACGAAGGCTGCTGGAGCCAAGAAGCAGTTCCAGAAGTTTTAGGTGATTTTGAACAGGAAGGCTGCAGCTGCTGGTTAACCTGTCGCATTTATCAAATAAAGAAAATCGTGTTTAAATCTCTTCTTGACATTTTTTGCTGTGTTCTTGTTGGGAGTTAAAATGTGTAATTATTTTTCATAACTGAAACATGGAACTGTACAATGCAGATTATGTTCCGTCATCCTATTAATTTAAACACATTTTATACATTCTGTTCATATTATACCAGTGTGCACTTTGTTGGCTTAAGGGACGGTGGAACAGAGGCTAAAGAAGTCAAGCCAACTTTATTTATAGAGCACATTTAAAACAGAACCTGTTCTCAAAGTGCTTAACAACAATCAATGAGTAAATTAAAGAGAAAAATATATAAACATATATATATATATATATATACAATACACTAATAATAATAACTGAAGAATTGATAAAAAGCATTTAAAACATAGGGTCACAGATTAATCACCGGCTTGTGATTGAGAGGTCACAGGTTTGAATCCCCAGACTAACAGAAAAAGCATAGATTCCTGCCAGAACAGTTTTCATTGAAAGGTTAAAAAAAAGGTTAGTTTGAGCGTCCTGCTTCACAACTGACACAACATGAATTACTTGTTTTTATTTCGACAGTTGTTTCAACCATTTCATCATTTTATTGACCAACATTATTAGGCCATGTATTAACTGGACTGTTTAAATGTTTTGATCACTGTTGATATACAGCTTGATAGTTTTTTTATATATAAAAATGACATCAGTTAGATTCAGTTATGTTTGAAAAATATAGCATGTTAGTCGTTTGGATGACACAGAAAAGCTGCAATCAGAGAAAACGAAGAGTAATGACAAAGTGCAGCAAGATGGGCTGAACAATGTTGAGAGCGGAGTACTGTACAGTACACGTCTTCATGTTTACATGTGTACCCACCCAGCTGTGCCACCCTGTGGTTCAAGGCTCAGAAAATTAGAATATTGTGAAAATGTGCATTATTGACTCCTGGTGCCACACTTTAATCAGCTAATTAACTCGAAACACCTGCAAAGGCCTTTAAATGGTCTGTAGCTACACAATCATGGGGAAGACTGCTGACTTGACACTGTCCAAAGGACGACCATTGACACCTGCACAAGGAGGGCAAGACACAAAAGGTCATTGCTAAAGAGGCTGGCTGTTCATAGAGCTCTGTGTCCAGGCATATTAATAGAGATGAAGGGAAAGAAACAATGTTAAAAAAGTTACAAGCAACAGGGATAACTGCACCCTGGAGAGGATGGTGAAACAAAACCCATTCCAAAATGTGGGGGAGATTCACAAAGTGGACTGCAGCTGGAGTCAGTGCTTCAAGAACCACCACGCTCAGACATATACAAGACATGGGGTTCAGCTGTCACATTCCTTGTGTCAAGCCACTCTTGAACAAGAGACCGTGTCAGAAGCGTCTCACCTGGAACTGCTGCTGAGTGGTCCAAAGTTATGTTCTCTGATGAAAGTACATTTTGCATTTCCTTTGGAAATCCAGGTCCCAGAGTCTGGAGGAAGAGGAGAGGCACAGAATCCACATTGCTTGAGGTCCAGTGTCAAGTTTCCACAGTCAGTGATGGTTTGGGGCCATGTCATCTGCTGGTGTTGGTCCACTGTTTTCTGAGGTCCAAGGTCAACACAGCCGTCTACCAAGAAGTTTTAGAGACTTCCTGCAACTGACCAACTTTATGGAGATGCAGATTTCATTTTCCTACAGGACTTGGCCCCTGCACACAGTGCCAAAGCTGCCAGTACAGTGACCCCTCGCTATAACGCGGTTCACCTTTCACGGTCTCGCTGCTTCACAGATTTGCATCGTGCTTTGTGTTCTGCATTCTGATTGGCTAAACAGTCTCTCTAGTACAGTAGTTATTTGTAAAAAACGTTTATACAGTACTTTTATTTGTTAAACAAATGCTTGGGCCTGTAAAAAACTTTTGTCCTTTGGTTTGAATGTATTACGGGTTTCACCTATCACGGGTTCTTTTTGGAACATAACCCCAGTGAAAAACGAGGGTTCACTGTACCTGGTTTAAAGACCATGGTACCCCTGTTCTTAACTGGCCAGCAGACGCTCCTGACCCGAACCCCAGATGTGATACACCAGACCCAATAATTCAGAAGAGCTGAAGGCCACTGTCAGAGCAACCTGAGCAGTTCCACAGACTGATCCACTCCATGCCACGACGCATCTCTGCAGTAATCCAGACAAAAGGAGCAACGACTAAGTATTCATGCTGTACATGCTCATACTTTTCATGTTCGTACTTTTCATGTTCGTACTTTTCATGTGCGTA